ACCAAGCCACAGAGGCCCCCGGGACTGGGGACCTGGGGGCCCGGGGGCTGAACTCAGCCCCTGCCCTGATCTTCAGTCTTCAGTCTCTTCATTTGTAAAATGGGAATAAGGGGCCTTCTTCTAACACCGAAGGGCTGCTGGCAGAGCTTCGGTGAAATCGCAGTTTGTAAACTAAGATCTGTGAAAGCTGGCTCCGGGTCACCTCTCAGTTCCTATTCCAGCTTTACTCCCCTGTAGAGTGGGGAGGCATGTTGACATCAATGGCAGGGCTCCTCAGGAGCAGGTGATGGTCACGGACTTGACGGGAAGGGGGTGCTCCAGATGGAGGGACTGACTGGAAGGAAAGGGTTTTTAAAAAGTTTGGGGTTTTGTTTGACAGTTTTTTGTTTGTTGTTGTTTCCCTTTAGCTGACACCCAAGGGTGAGCCAGGCTTGGGCAGGGGTCCTTCATTTCTCAAACCCTCACAGTCCCTCAAACAGTATCAGCAGAATAGAGAAATCACAAAGGGAAGATATCATCCAACCCTCCCACTCCCTCCTCAAATCTTACAGCAGATACTCACCCTTAGAGACCACAGGTAGCGTCTAGAAACCCATTTTAGGAACAAGAACCTGAGGCCAAGAGCAGACAACCTGAGATTCCACAGCCTCAGATCCCTAAGTTTCAGATGCCCACCACCACGTTTTCCATCACCATGCTGTCTTCCTGGACCTGCCTCTCTGCTCAAGGGACCTTGAACAAATGTCCACATCCCTCTGAGGGTCAGTTTCCTCGTCTGTAATATGGGAGTAAGTAATCCTCCCTCCTAGGGTCAGGGAGAGATTAAATGAGATGAAGTCTACTCAAGACCCACTAGGCACAGCTTAGGTCACCTCTAAGTGGTCATCCCTTGTGGCTCAACTGGTAAAGAATCCGCCTGCAATGCAGGAGACCTGGGTTCAGTCCCAGGGTTGGGAACATTCCCTGGAGAAGGGAAAGGCTATCCACTCCAGTGTTCTGGCCTGGAGAATTCCACGGACTGTATAGTCCATGGGGTCGCAAAGAGTTGGATGCGACTGAGTGACTTTCACATTCACAATTGGTCATTAAGTGGAAGTCATTCCACCTGTCATTCTAAATGCTCCCATATCCCCTGCAATCCAGATTACAGACCTCCTGGTTTACTGTGTAAACCGAAGATATACACAGGCACCGTCCACCACATTTACAAGAATGTTACCAGCTTGGTTTCACACCAGTCCACCTACATATCTGCATGTGAGTACATTCCAAAGTATTTACCAAGCCTGCTCCCTGTGTCAGGTCTTGGGCTGGGGGCTGGGGCCCAGGACCCAGAGGAGACCTTGGACGACTCCAGTAGCTGAGTCTCAATTACTCAGTCGCGTCCGACTCTTTGTGATCCCAAGGATGTAGCCCTCCAGACTCCTCTGTCCATGGGGATTCTCCAGGTAAGAATACTAAAGTGGATTGCCACGCTCTCCTCCAGGGGATCTTCCCAACCCAGGAGTCGAGCCCGGGTCTCCTGCCCTGCAGGCAGATTCTTTACCCTCTGAGCCACCAGGGACGCCCAGAGTCTTGCAGGGAAGACAGGATTTGTTTGCAGAGTTCTGCCTCCTAAGCGGTCTGGTCGCTTACGTCTGGAATCCAAACGCTGGCATTGTGCATCCCTTCTGGTTTCCGGACCAGGATGGCTGAAATGCTTTTTTTTTTTTTATTTCCGGGAGCCTGGCCTTCCACCGCCAGCACCAGTCCGCCCGGCGCAAGGGCGCCGTTCTCCGTGGCAGCCAGGCGGGTTCTTTGCCTGAATGTGTGCAGGAACTCGGAGAGATGGGCAAGGCGAGGACAGGCCAGAAAGGCCCGGGAGGAACCTGGGAAGCCGTGGGAGGTCTGAGCCTTTGCAGCCCCCGCGCCAGCCCGCCCCGGCCCGTTTGGCACAAGCGCCTCCTGGGACGCCAGGCGGCTGAGCAAAGGCCGGCCCCGCCACGCACCCGGTCTTTTGTGGGAGCGAAACACAAAAGAGAGGAAAAAAAATACGTCTTCCGTTTCGACGGAGGAGGCCAACAGCGCCAGGACTCCTGGGCCAGCCAGGAACCCCCGGAGCCCGGCCCATTAGCCCCGGCAAAGGAGCACTCCATTTCGCTGGAAGGGGCTGTGTGCGCGCGGGTGGGAACCGCGGTGCCAGGGACACTCCCAGGATGCGCACACCAGGTGCCAGGCGCAAGACCTGGGCAAGGGCCGGGACGCCCTAGGGCCCACGGGAGAGCAAGCGCCGGTGGGGGACTCTAGTTTCTGATTATCCCTGGAGGGGGCGGGAGGACCCAGAGACACACTCGGGAGAGTTTGGCTACCGACCAGGGCTAAAGAAGCCCAGGGCACACAGACCGACCCCCACCTCGAGCAACTGGCAACTGGAGGATGGGGTCCTCCATGGGGATGTTGGGGAAAGGGTCCGCAGAGCTGACCTGCCAGCCCGAGCTCCGGGGAGTGCGCAGTGAGGACCGCGAGGCGCCGCTGCACCGCCCCGGCATGGCCACCACTGCCTCAGATCGGTGGCGCGGGACCGGAGCCCAGAGCATCCTTACGCGCCTCTACGCGGGAATCTGGCGAATAAGCCAGCTCTCCTGACTCCGGACTGTGCCTTCCCAGCTCTAAACTCGCGCAGTGCCAAGATGGGCCCCTCGAGTTTCGCCCCTGCTTCCGACTCCAGGCTCTGAAACCAGCGCGTAAAGAACCGCGGACTCGCGCGGACCCGGGCGCAAGGACTGTCGCCGGTGGCAAGCCACGAAAGAAGGAACCGGGGCTCCAGGACACGTGCCACCGGCTGGACTAATCTCAGCGGCTGCGACCTAGGCGCGCACTCTTTGCGCCTGCTGGCGTTTGTGAGATACAAACTGGCGCGCTCACAAGACCACGTCCCGGCTGGGGGCCCGTCGCGCACACCCCCCACGAATGTCCTCATTGCCGGTGGCCCAGGATGCCCAAAGGAATGGTACTCAAATGCCCCAGCCCTGCCATCCCCAGCTCCCCATCCCCACTCCCTGCGGTCTTCCAAGTGACAGATTCGCCTAATTGAACCGTTGTGGGTCATCCTCTGGAACCGTTGGACGACACATCTCCACGCTTCAGTTCTTCATGTTTTAAATACATATTTAACGGATGGCTGCTGAGCCAGCTGGGAAACAGGTGGATTGAAAAATAACGCCCCAGAAGGCACGAGCTGGGGGCAAGGGGGAGAGCCCGCCTGGCTTTCTTTCTGGTGTAACGGGACTGTAAGACTTACCCCCAAACTGGGAGCAGTACCCTGGGGTTTTGTTGGTTTATTTCGTAACTTTGCCGTTTGAAGGTGAATTACTACTAGCCAAGTTTGTTTGTCTGTTGTTGTGTTTTTAAAACCGTGCATACAAATTAAAAGCTCCCAAATAATGTAGATAACCAAGAGGCTGATAAGACCCCTTTGGAGAGAGGGCTGGGGCTGAGTCTCCGCAGCTGCAGTGTAAAGCACTAGTAGGGTAGTAGAGATTTGAAGAAACAAATCTCTGTGCTCAAAATGTATGGCTGTGCGAAATTTTCAACCATGAGAAAATGTCTGAGGGTAGGGAGACGGGGCCCCTACTATAAAGCAACCACCAGAGCCCCCATCTGCAGTTTAGGCAGAGGTGCGCAGTAAAGGGTTGAGTTGGGTTTTTTTTTTTCCCTCTAGGCTTGCTGCAGACAGTCTCTCGATTTTCCCATCTGTAAAATGGGCGGAAGCGTCGGTACCACTACTTCAGTTGGGCGCTTTCCCAAATCAGATTTAGTTCCTCCGAGGTCAAGGATTTCCAGGTTTGGGAGCCAGGCCGCGATTCGTAAAACGCAATGGATCTCGGCCAAAACGGGTTGGATCCCGCGGTCTGGCCCGCGGTATGGAGAAGTCTTGGCCCAGGTTTGAGACTTCTTTCTGCAGACAAGCCAACTTTGCCCCTCTACGCCACGGCGTGGTGACCGCCACAAAGATGGTGCAGAAAATACCGTCCTCTGGTTCCCGGTGCTGCGAAAGGATGCCAGACCCTGGGCTCAACTCTCCGCCTGCGTTAGCGCGGTTTCTCAGTGCAAACGCCTCGTCCCGGCGTCTGCGCCATCGTCAGCTTCATGAAGAAGGCGATTTCTTTCAAAGCCCCGTCTTGGTAGCGGGTCCCCTGTTGCCTTCCCCGCCTTTCTCCTCGCCAGGCCCGGTGCCCAGCTGGGGGCGCTCCTGGCCGCCGGCCGAGCTTCAGCCGCCGCCACCTCTCAGAGGCGCGCTTCGAGGGCAAAGAAAGTACGAGTTTCGTGCCTGGTTACCGTGCACATTTGGGGCTCAAAGTGCCCACGTGCTGATGAAACCCACGAAGTGGGAACAGGTGGCGAGCACACACACACACACACACACACACACACACACACACACACACACGGCGGTGGGGAGGGAGGAGACTCCAGCCCAGCTCCCGAGCAGCCAGGGTTTTCTGCGAAGATCCCCAAGGTCCGAACGCCTTGGGCATCAGGTTAATTTGTGCGCACAGCACCCCCGCGCACTTCCTCCCCCAGCCCGACTCTGCGTCCCCGTATTTTATTAGAAATTGGACAGTGCCCCCTCTCTCCCTCGGTCCCACCCGCGGCGCGCTGCATTCCCCCCTCCCCGGGCCCGCCTCCTCCTCCGGCTTTGCCTCTCACTCGCCCTCTCGGGGTCCACGCTGCAGTCCCTCCTGGAAGACTCTCCCTGCCGCGGGCGCCCATTGGCTGAGCGCTGGGAGGAGGCGTGTGCCGGCCCGGCGAGTTTCATTGAGCGGAATTAGCCCGGATGACATCAGCTTCCCACTCCCCCCACCCATCCCCACCCCGGGCCTGCCCAGCTCATTGGCGCGGCGGCCCCTCCAAGACCCGCACATTGTTCCCCGCCCCCGCCGCGGCCACCGTCGCCGTCGCCGCCGCCACCCGGCTATAAAAACCCTCCGAGCGGGGAAAGGTGCGGATGCTCATTATAGAGCGACGCGACATCGGCACCCGGACCCGGTTTTCTGCGGCAGCCTTGGGGACCGAGCTCCTCTAACCGCATCCGCAGTAAGTGTGCCCGCCCCTCCCAACCCCCCGTCCCAAGCAACTCCAGCCTACACCCCAGGGACAGAGGCCCCTCACTTCGGCTGCTACCGGGGGAGCTCCGCTAAAGTGGATCCAGATCCCTCCCCTACCCGCCAGTTCTCCTGAGCGGCTTCGCTGCCCTGACCCTCCCCACGCTCACCGCACCACCCCTTTGGCTCCAAAGCGAGAAATCGGGGCCACAATAGCGGTCTTCTGCCCCAGAACCAGTCAGCTGGGTGAGCCCCCGGCCCGCCCCAGGCGCAGCGCGTGGAGTCTGGGCTCCGTGGCGGGCGCTGGGTGCGCAGGTCTGTGAACGTGTGTTTGCCGAGCGGTGTCGATGGAGATAAGGTGGATGCGTTTGAGGAACCAAATACTTCTCTATTTAGATCTCCACCCTTCCCAAAGAAAAGCCCTCACTTGACACTTTTATTCCAGCCCTGGAGATCCAGCCTCCTCATTCTTAAGTGTGTTAGTCGCTCAGTCGTGTCCGACTCCTTGCGACCCTATGGACGGTAGCCTGCCAAGCTCCTCTGTCCGTGGCATTTTCCCGGCGAGAATACTGGAGTGGGTTACCATCGCCTTCTCCAGGGCATCTTCCCGTCTGAGCCACCAGGGAAGACCTCATTCCTAGCAGAAGGCATAAAAACCGTAGAATGCCACCCTCCCAGAGGAGCGCTCCATCCTCCCTGGATTAAACAACCTGTGGATGAGAGCGGCGCGGAGGCGGTAGGGAGGGAAAGAGATAACTTAAGCTTACCTGCATGCCGGGGCCAGAGACAGCGCCCGGTGGACCCGAAGCGAACGGCCACCAGCTCCTGAACCCCGCGCTGCGGTGCCGGCGGGAGCAGGTTCTCTCTCTCACTGACCCCAGTGCCGCTCGATCTCGATTTCGATCTTCTGTCTCTTTTGTGTTTCTCTCCTCCTCTCTTCGCAGTAGGCGTCCTGGAAGCTCTGAGGACCCAGGGAGGGGAGGACCCCGCGAAGGCTGCGACGATCCCTCGGGGCCATGGACTCGGACGCCAGTCTGGTGTCTAGCCGGCCGTCGTCGCCGGAGCCCGATGACCTTTTCCTGCCGGCCCGAAGCAAGGGCAGCGGGGGCGGCGCCTTCACGGGGGGCACCGTGTCGTCGTCCACGCCGAGCGACTGCCCGCCGGATCTGAGCGCCGAGCTGCGCGGCGCCATGGGCGCGGCGGGCGCGCACCCGGGGGACAAGCTGGGCGGCGGCGGCGGCGGCGGCTTCAAGTCCTCCTCGTCCAGCACCTCTTCATCCACGTCGTCGGCGGCCGCGTCGTCCACCAAGAAGGACAAGAAACAGATGACGGAGCCCGAGCTGCAGCAGCTGCGCCTCAAGATCAACAGCCGCGAACGCAAGCGGATGCACGACCTCAACATCGCCATGGACGGGCTGCGCGAGGTCATGCCTTACGCGCACGGCCCGTCGGTGCGCAAGCTCTCCAAGATCGCCACGCTGCTGCTGGCGCGCAACTACATCCTCATGCTCACCAACTCGCTGGAGGAGATGAAGCGACTGGTGAGCGAGATCTACGGAGGCCACCACGCTGGCTTCCACCCGTCGGCCTGCGGCGGCCTGGCGCACTCGGCGCCCCTGCCCGCAGCCACGGCTCATCCGGCGGCCGCGGCGCACGCGGCGCACCACCCAGCCGTGCATCATCCCATTCTGCCTCCGGCCGCCGCCGCCGCCGCCGCCGCTGCGGCCGCCGCCGCGGTGTCCAGCGCCTCCCTGCCCGGCTCTGGGCTGTCGTCGGTCGGCTCCATCCGGCCCCCTCACGGCCTGCTCAAGTCTCCGGCGGCGGCGGCGGCGGCGGCAGNAAGGGTCGTCCCCGGCCCAGGGACTTGCGGTCGTGTCCAGTCTCCGTATCTAGATAAACCCACAGCGGTCTTGAACTGTTCCTCCCTGTCGCTTCTAATTGGTTTGGGGGTTTGTGGTTTTCAAAGGTTTGTTCTTTTTCAACCGTGCGATCAAGCTTTATAGACAGTCAGAATAGAACCACTTGTGGATTGTTAAAACCTACAACTTTGGGTGCGGGTGTTTTTTTTTTTTTGTTTTGTTTTTTTGTTTGTTTTTTTAGTTATTTTAGAATAGAATTTCCCTCCCTCCCCCTTCTTTCCGTCTCGGAGCACAAAGTGATTTGGTTTCCTACCTGGCTGGGGAGTCATTTGGGTACCCGAGGATTTGACAGAAATCAGAGGATGTTGCTGTGAATATAGTTTGGGTTATTTGGGAGTTCTATTGATTTTTTAGTTTTTTTTTTCTCTTTGGAATGTATAAATAGATCAATAATGAGGTAAGTGCGTGCTGCTAAGCTGATTGCTCACGTGACTGCCACTCCCCCCCACCCCCGCCCAAGCCGGGTTTCTTCTATATTGGTTTCTTTTTGCGAGCTTAACACAAATGACAAACTCTTTCCACGTGCTTCCTCCCTCCGCGCGAACCGCCTCGGCTTGCAGAGTTGCAATATGGGCTTCACAGCGTCGGCCACGTAACAACCCTCTCCGATCGCTGCCCCTTGCAGAGAGTGTATCATCTGTTTTATTTTTGTAAAAAGATAAAAGTGCTAAATAATATTTATTACTTGTTTGGTTGCAAAAAAAATGAAATAAATGACTGAGTGTTGAGATTTTAAATAAAATTTAGAGTAAGTCGGGTGTTTTCCAGCCTTGTGGGTGGAAGGAGGTGTGGGGAGCCGCCTGGGAAAAGCGGGTGGCGGGACTCCATCCTTCTGGGCTGGATTTGGGGACCGCTCCTCTGGTTTCGTCCCAGAGAAAGATTGAGATGTTTGTTGGCCCATTTTTCTCCCCCCTAACATTCTCTTTAAAATACGTTCTGAGCACCTCCTCGGCGTGCTCCTCACTTGTTTTTATTTTTATTTTCTGACGCCTAACCTGGAACTCCTTTTCTACTGGGTTGAGAATTAGGTTTATTGAGAGGGAAAAATATTCCTCCGTGCAGCGCCGAACTTTGGGCCTCCCGGGTGAGACCCGTGCCTGTGGCTGGGAGTCCGGGCGCTTAGGTCCCCGTGTTCTGAAGCGATTCCATTTTCTCTCTGCTGAGAGGCGGTCGTCCACCCGCATCCGTCTGCGGACCAGCGACGCGAGGCCCTCTCGGCCCGGCATCGCCACGTGGTTCCTGGCAGAGCGCTGCGGGCGCTTGTGGCGCGGGTTCCACTCACCCTTCGCTCCCTTCCCTGCGCTACGCACGGCCCTCCCCCGGCTCCCCCGCCGACCTTGAACCGCAAAAAGTCAGGTGCTGGGAACCGCCCGCCGGGAGCCAGGCTGTCGCCAGCCGCGCTTTGGTCTCCCGCTTCCTAACCCTGACTCCCGCCTCCGTTTTCTCGCTGCTATCGGGTTCCTCACAATCCAAAACTGCAAGGCAAATTTAGGACGTGGCTCTTAAGAGGGATTTGGGGCTTCGGCCTGTCCGGATCAAGGAAGAGGAGAGAACGTTTTGCCATCTTCCGGTTCTCCGACTCACAGCAGAACACGCATCCGTGAACGCTGCGAAGTGCGGACGTGGTGGATGGTCCCCGACCCGGGGCCCGCTCGCTCACGATACCTTTGGTGGCCACCGGTGGAAGGTCCCAGCGCCTAGAGCACCTTTCCCTGGTTGGACCGCCCCCCCCACCCCCGGCGCCCCGTTTCCTAAGATCGCCCCTGATCGCCCCCCAGCCGGGCCCACGATGACTGGTCGTTCAGGGGAGGGAGGTTGGTTCCATCTCCTGGACAGGTAGTTTCTGGGTCCGCCAGAAGGTACTGTCAAGCGACTGGCCTAAACAAGAGGGCGCCCCCGGGCATCAGATGCCTCCTACTGGGCTTCGCTTCTCACCCACGGCGGGGATGAAGGCTGGGGGGCTGCAGAGAGTGGAATAAAGGGGTCCGGCCCAAACCGTGCCACGGGAATCCCAGAAGAGGGTAGGGCAGGATCTAGTAGGTTTCGCTTTCAAATTCCAGTTGAAACGGAATTTGTCAAGGATTTAAAACTGGGTCCTTCTCCAGCCAACAAGCCACACAGAGGACCCCGCGGTGCAGATTGGGTTGGGGGGGCCTCCCTGTCTCAGTCTTGGCTTCCTACACCCACCCCAAGACTTGGCAGATGCAGGCGGGGCTGCCCGAGGCGCAGTGCATCCGTAAAGGCGCAGTTGTTGAAAGAAATCAAGTCTCCCCCCTTTCCCGTCCCCCATGTCCAAGCTCTCGGTTCGTGTCCAGCCACCAGTCAGACTAGATCTTGGCCCCCAAGGAAGGAGGGCCTGGATCCAGCCAGGCTCCGGGCGCTCCCCAGAGCCACCCACCTAAACCCAGCCAGGGATCTGGGCCACCACGTGTGAGAGCCGAGCGCGCTCGACGCCGCGGAGGAGGCGCACACGGGCGAGCAGGGCCGCTCCGGGCAGATGGCTCCTTGCAGAAACTGGCCCTTGCGTGGCGGGGGGCCTGGGTGAGGGACGCAGGCCAGCGGTTGGGCTTCGGAGTAGAGCGAGAAAGGAAGTTAGCCTCCCACGCGGACTTCCAAGGACAACCTCCGCAGCCCCGCCCCTACACTGAGAGAGGCGGGCAGGGAGAAGGCGGTCTGCAAACAGTTGGGCGCTGGGCAGTGACTCGATCCTCGGAGCACCGGCTCCTAGGACCCCCTTCCCGGCTGCATTAGGTTCTCTGGGACGCTGGTCCACAGCACAGCTTCCCCATCCCCGCATGTGGCCCTGGAAGTGTCTCAGCTCTCAGCCTGGGCGCCCAGGCTTCTGTCACCAGCTCCCAAGGTCTTCCAGATTCTCCCCCACCCTCTCCCCTGCATAAAAACTGACTGATTTGAGGTTGAGGGGGCCTCCTCCTCCGTTGTCTCTTTCCTCCAGGGCACGGTCTTCCCTCCCCCCTCATTCCCAGGGCAGGAGACAGAGGAACGAGGAGCCCCTGGTTTGATCCTGTGTTGGAGGGCACACGGGAACCCCCGGGGCGGCACCTGGCCCATGCCTCCAGCGCCCAGAAAGTTGAAACTCTGAATTCTGGCAACTGGAAGTCCGCCAAGGAGCAAAGCAAACCTTCACATCTAAAGCACATCTCAATTGGAGAATGTGTTGCTGAGGCCCCAGGGAGGTCACACTCCCAGCAAGGACGGCTGGAGAAAGATTCAAGTACCAGGGAGATGCATGGGGCTGGGGCTGGGGCCTCCTCAGTCCCAGATGGGAAGGCAGGAGAGGGGGAGGAGCCCCCAGGCCAGGATGTTGGATTTTTTAAAGCCCCCTAGACACTCTCAGTGCTGGAGAGCCATCTGTCTGCCTCCCTTTAGGATAGAACCCAGCTAACAAAGAGTCTGAACTCCTATCAAGTAAATACCTTGATGCCCCCTAGAAGTTCATCGAAGGCAAAAGATACCCGCTATACAGGCCTACCTTTCATTTTAAGTCCCTCTTTTAGTACAGACTTCGGGCCAAATCTGAGCCTCCACACAAGGGCCTCACAGTGCCAGTAAGACTCTTGGGGGTCTCTGACAGCGGCCCTAGACCCAAAGTCTCTTGACAGGCCCCCTTAGTCTCTACGCACCTGCAAGGGAGGCCAGAATCAGGCCTGGCTGTTTTCAGGGTAAGTGGCTGCTACACTGAGTCCTACCCTGGCTGGGAAGCGGTAGCCGTGGAATAGTATGGGTCAGCATCCCACGGCTCAGTTTGGAGGGGCAGGCAGTGTGACCCCTGGGCTAAACCTTCCATTCCTGGTCAGAGTAATGGGCCAGCAGGGCACACGGGCTCACCGCTCATCAATTCCTCCTACCCTCAGGGCTGTCTTGTTGCTACAGGGCCACATGCACTGTGAGCTAATGGGGCGAGGGAACACTCCAGTGACCAACAGCTGTGGCAGATCCGGGAGCCTGGAGGCGGTGCCCAGCTGTACCCGGGAAGTTCAGGATGACAATAATAAGCGGAAGAGGCTGGAAGAGGAGGCACCCACATTTACAGAAGGCTAGTCTGCGATTAAAGAGTCGGACACGACTGAGCGACTGAACTGAACTGAGTCTGTATAGGGCATCACCCTGAGAGCTTTAGTTGTTAATCATTCATTCAATTCACCTGGTAGCCCTTTGAGGATGGTGCTATTATTTATTATATTTATTTAATTATGATTTTACAGGTGAGGAAATTGAGGCTCAGCGAGGGTAAGTGGCTTGCTCAAGGGAAGACACAGTAAATGGAGGCAGCAACGTTGGGATCCTGGGGTTTGGCTCCAAATCCAACCTTGGGAAAGTCGCACCATCCATACCCAGGCCGCCCTAGCCCTCTCTCCTCCAGTCCAATTTAGTCTCTAGATTCTGGGGAATCCTTGAAGCTCCCACACTGCTGCCCACTCCCACCCCCACCCCGGCCCCAAACCCCCAGCCCCCTTAGGTGACACTCCTAGCATTCTCCCTGTGCGCCTGGACCCCATCTGGCCCCGACGCCCCCATCTGGGCAGCGGGCGGTGCCCGCGACGCGGGCGACCGCTAATGAGGCGGCCGGCGACGCTGAGATGGACCGGCGTTCGTGGCGGGACAGCTGCCGCCCCCCGCCGGCCCGCGGACCGCATCTCCTGCCCAGTGGCGCAGTCCACACCGCGTGCCACAACAACTCGGGAAGGAATCGCAAACCGAAGCGCCTGCAGGGGCCCGCAGGCCACGTGCGCGGTCGGGACGCGGGTCGTCCGTGCAAACGGGGGCGCGCGAGCTGGGAGAACGCAGTGTCCTTCCCAGGGACCTTGGGCCCCACTTTACCACACACTAAGGGCCCCCCGGACACTGGGGGAGGGGGCGGTGTGGCGCGAACTGTCCGGCGGGCTTCCAGTATGCAACCCCTGAAAGTGATGCGGCTGATCAGGACGGCAGATTTGGGTCGTTGGCCCTGCTGGGGATCTCAGGCCGCGAAGCCTCCGGGAACCGAGTAACTGCGCGATCTCCTGCCGAGCTGGGCGCCGCGGTCCCCTGGCTTCCCGGATCGCGAGCAGGCAGAACCCAGGCCGCGGGGGCCCCGGCCTCGCAGGCACGCCCGGTGCGCCTGCCCGCTGGAGCCCCAGCGCGTCCCGCTCGGGCTCGGGTTGAAGCAGCTGCCTGAGGCGGCGCGCGGCTTTCCTTTGCAGAGCTTTGCGTCCCGTGGCCGCAGGGCCTCTGAGTCCACTAGCTGTGGGAGGGATTGAGAGTCCCCCACCCTCCACCCCGCCCCGAGAGGGAAACAAGCGGATTTCTCCGGAAGCGCCTAAGTTCATGTGGAGACCAAATAGCATCCCTGACCCCACTGGGGGTCAGACACCCTGATCCGCGCTCATGCACAAGGACACAGGCACCGAGCGCGCCTCCCGGGGTCCACACGCACACTGGCGAGTCTGGAACCTCGAAGCCTTGGCCTTGGTCTGGAAGCCCTTGAGGTCCCCTAAGACAGCGATGGTTGGCCAGGGACAGCTCGGTTTATCTTCCCCTTCCTCGACTATCCTCGGGAGCCTGGGAATCTATCCTCTCCCTGCCTCCTTCTAGGCTTTGTGGGCTGGCCCACCGCCCTTCCCTCTGCGACACACCCCCCCACCTCCAGTTCACACCTGCTCTCTGAGACCTCAGCTTTCCAGGCTGAAGTCTTGGATCTCCAGAGAGAGCCCGTGGAAGAACAGGACCACGAGCAGTTGGCTCCCTCTTCATCCTCGGATCTTCTGGGCAGTGGAGGCTGGCCTGGCACAGCAGAGCTGGAGTGGCCCCTCAGAAGACTGGTGGGCACTCTCTGACCTCAGTTTCCGCACCTGTAGAATGGAGCCAGGTTGGGTGATCACCAAAGCTCTGTGGGAGGATGAGGCTTGGCTCTGGGTGCCCTGGCCCACCTTTGGGCAGAGGTTCCCAGAGCCCCTGGTTGGCAGGGAGAGAGTGATGGGGGAAAACAGTTCCCCTTAGAATCCTGTGTAGGCAGGGACCAGTGCTTCCCAGGTGGCGCAGTGGCAAAGAACCCACCTGCCAATGCAGGAGACTCAAGAGATGTAGGTTCAGTGCCTGCCTGGGGAAGATCTCCTGGAGGAGGAAATGGCAACCCACTCCAGTATCCTTGCCTGGAGAATCCCAGGGACAGAGGAGCCTGATGGGCAGCAGTCTGTGGGGGTGGCCTAGAGTCAAGACACAACTGAGCCACTGAGCGTGCAAGCACATGGGGGCTAATGAAATTCACAGCCTCCACTGAAGTGGGAGTGTAGACAATTCCAGAAACAGCTACTATTTGTCCTTGACTTTTCAGCTCCCCAGGT